ATAGGCACTTGGGGTTTTCACCAGGAATTGGTTGCCAGTTTCAATTTCCATAAGGGTGTCTCCTGCATTTTCCAAGGTTCTTATAGTTTGAGGTTTTATGTTTAGGTCTTTGATCCATTTAGAGTTGATTTTTGTGTATGGTGATAGGTAGGGGTCTTGTTTTAATCTTCTGCATGTGATCAGCCAGTTTTCTCAACATCATTTATTGATGTGTTCTCCTCTCCCCAGTGGTTGTTGGTAGAGGCTTTGTAGAAGATGAGTTGGTTGAGAAATTGAGGTTTTGCTTCTAGAATCTCTATCCTGTTCCAGTGGTCTATATGCCTGTTCTTATTCCAATACTAGGCTGTTTTGATTATTGTAGGTTTATAATAAAGCTTAAAGTCTGGGGCTTCATCCCTGGGATGCAGGGCTGGATCAACATCCACAAGACCATACATGTAATTAAATACATCAACAGATGTAAAGACAAAAACCATATGATTATATCATTAGATGCAGAAAAGCTTTTGGTAAAATCCAGAAACCGTCCTTGATAAAAATCCTTGAACATCTAGTCATAGATGGAACATACCTCAAAATAGTGAGAATCATCTATGAGAAACCCACAGCCAACATACTGCTAAACAGACAGAAATTGGAATCATTTCCCCAGAAAACCCGAACAAGACAAGGTTGCCTACTCTCACCTCTCCTGTTCAGCATAGTATTGGAAGTCCTAGCTAGAGCAATCACACAAGAAACAGAAATCAGGCAAATCCAAATAAGAAAAGAGGAAGTCGCCGGCTCGGTGGCTCAGCCTGTAATCCCGCACCTTTGGGAGGTTGAGGTGAGTGGATTGCCTGAGCCCGCAGGTTCGAGACCCACCTGGGCAGCGAGACCTCATCTCTACAATAAATCAAAAAATCAACTGGGCTTGGCAGCGCATGCCTGTAATTCCAGCTACTAGGAAGGTTGAGGCGGAAGTATTGCCGGAGCACAGCAGGCAAGGCTGCGGTGGCCGGGAGCGGCCACTGCACTCCAGTCTGGGCGACTGAGTGAGACTCCAACTCAAAAAAGAAGAAAAGAGGAAGTTAAGTTACTCCTCTTTGCAGACGACATGATTCTATACCTTGAAAATCCAAGAGAATCTGTCAAAAACCTCCTTGCACTACTGCTAAAGGACTTTGGTAAAGTCTCAGGGTATTAAAAAAATGTGCAAAAGTCATTTGCATTTCTGTACACCAACAATAAACAAAGAGAAACCCAAATAAAAGGCACAAATCCATTCACAACAGCCACACACACACAAAAAGAAATATCTTGACATCTTCCTAACCACAGACATGAAAGCCCTTTACATCGAAAACTACAAAATACTCCTCAAAGAAATCAAAGATGACACAAACAAATGGAAAGATGTTTTATGGTTTAGGATTGGAAGAATCACCACTGTTAAGATGTACATCCTACCCAAGACCATCTACTGATTTAAAGCAATACCCATTAAATTACCAGCAGCAGTCTTCCCAGACCTGGAAATAACAATACAGGAATTCATATGGAAACACAAATGACTATGAATAGCCAAAACCCTCAGCAAAAAACAAAAAACAAACAAACAAAAAACCACAACAAAACAGGAGGCTTCGCTCCCTGACTTTAAGAGTCTTCCTTAAGATCACATAAGTGGCCAACACTTCCTAATAGCCTTACATTTTCCTACCAAGTCCCTTGAAACAATAACCTTTGTATGCACAGAAATGAACACACCATAAACAGTTTAACAGGTTAAGATTCCTAATTTGTTGCTGGTAAGAAAATGCGGCACAAGTCACTGACCCCATTCCATTTTTGACTCAGCCAACAAAATAAGAAGAAAGAGTGGTTAAGTGATTTACTCAGAATTAAACAATTATTGATTCTACTCAGATCTCATCATGATCTCCAAAAGCTATTTTGAACTATACTTCCTATATTGAAAATTAAATCTCAACAATTTTTCCTCTATTATTCATCTGAGGAATATAATAATTTCACAAATAACTGTAGATTCCTACAATGAAGGAGACCTAATGCAAAGGGACGGGGACCAATAGAATTTCAAGGTGGAGACATGTTCTTCAGGGAAAAAAATTTCTCAGTATGCCCTCCAAAAGGTTATTTGTCCCTGGTGAAAATCACTATTATACTTCACACACTAGAGTTTGAATGGTTCTTTGCATATTTCTAAGGCCCCTTTAGAAAACTTCATTATTTTGAAGGCTAGTAATTAATAATTTGAGATTATGTAACCAACTATAAAGAAAAGATTGTACTAAGTGTGGAAATAAAGCTTAAGAAACAAAAATGGGAAACGTTCAAAATATTTTCAAATGTTAGTTTGTCAATTTGTATATATGTAATCAATGTGATTATTTATATTGTTTTATTAGATTCAATACCCAATGGTTAGTCATTCATTCAAAATGATGTATATGGTAGATTTTGAGTAATATAATTCCACTGTATTTTTATAATCTAGAATTTAGCCTGTGAAAATACACTTTTCTCACAAAATCAGTGAACTTGTATTGCAATTAATTACCAAAGCATTGCCATTAAAAAATGTTTCCATGTACAAAATACTATACAATTGTTAAACATTCTTGAACACAAATTAAACATATAATGCATAACATTTGTTAGTAGTATTTATATCCTCTCAAATATTTAAATTTATCACGTATGTTGGGTGAAAGAAGTTTATCTGGTAATCGTAGAAACTAAGCTACCAAATTAGTCTTTAATAAAAAATGTTAATGAACCTATGAACAAACATAAGGTGAGTTCTGTGAATTCATTTCTTCTGTGCAAAATTATCCCAGGGGTGGGGGGAGGAAAACATCTTTTACTTAAGACCTTACAAAAACCTTGCAGGTTTTAAATTATTCTCTAAATAATTTGATTTAGAATAATAATGTGTAGTTCTGAAGTCATGTAATGTTAAAATCTCTATAATGCTAATACAAAATATTTACAGATTGCCTGAAAACCAGTTTAAACCTAAAAAAAGAGACAAAGTAATTTAAGACAGATTAGTTCCACAGGTATTTTTTGGTGAGTACAACCTCACAATTTTAACAATTATCATATAAGTCATTAAAATCTAAACATTTACTGTACTCCTAACTGGGTTCTTATGATTTGGAACAGAATTTCCAGTGACAGTACCATACGTACATTCAGAAGTTGTGGCATATAAAACAATTTTCATGGAAGAAAACTATTGCTACATATTTAAGTGACCATAGTCACTTACAAAGACAATGATGCAAAAATTCATGTGAAAAATTTTAAAGAGTGGAGAAATATTCTCAGTTTCTACTAGATTATTCTGTTTGGTCACTAACCTGTTGAGTCCCAAAGATCAAACAGCAATGTTTTTACATTGAATAGGTTGTGTAAGAGAAAATTTAGGAAAACAGAAAACTTGCAATTGAGCATTTAAAGTCAAAACTGGTTATCAGTAGCCTAAAAACATGAAGTCTGGGACTATGACTATTTTTTACTGCCAAATTCTCAGTGGCAGAAGGAACATTTAAAAAACATTTGTTGAAAGAATAAACCATAATAGCTGCCACTTTTTCACTAGTTGATTAATACACCAGTTTATAGGTGAAGTTAGAGAAGTTGAAGGCTAGACTGAATAGTCAGGAATACATGCAGATTTTTCCCATCTATGTATTCAACATCTGTTATTATTCTGCCTCAATCACATTTTTATCTGTCTAAACCTATTCACACACATCAATCAATAATCCTACTGGATATGTACATCCTCTTTTTATTCATGTTCAATAAAAGTGCAAACCCAGATAATTTTTCAGAAATGTCTGAACCTAGAATTTGTAATTTCAATGTTAAGTAACAATTTTTTTCCCCATTTCCATCCAAAATGTTAGAACTTAAAGCAGTCAAGCAAACTTAAACAAATTACGATTTCACATATAGTGATTTGGCTTTTCTCAATGGTAAATGATAAAAATTCGAAATGAAGCGAGAAATCAATTGAATCTGAAAAATATACATTATGGTTACTATCTGAGTTGCTACTACGTGCCAGTCACCTTTCTAAATATATCTCACGCGCAATCCATCCGATTTTCACAATCCAACGAGATTGGTGCCTTTATCCTTAAATTACCGATACGACCTGGGAGCAGAGAGGTTAAGAGGTTAAGAGGCTTATTCAACTTTACCCAGGTAAGTGATGGATTTGAACCCAGGAGTGTGACACCATAGCTTCCACACACACAGTGCAATGCAGCTACTCAACAGAGACTGCATTGCACTGTTGCACTGGTTATACGCCCAGGGAATTTCATAAACAGCTGAAGGTGCTTTGTCACTCTGATCAGAAGAGGCCATCTGAACCAGCCCTAATCTGTGGAATTTCAGTTTGGGTCCACTTTGGGGGCTGTTATTCCTGTGTCAGTCATTCCCATTAAAACATACAAAGTTGATAAAAAATATAAGAAATTATTTTTTTAACATTTGTATAAAGCCTTTTTTCATAATATACTTGATACTATATAAAAAGAAAAAAAAAACTTGAGGACTTAAATTCCCACTTTATTGGTAATGAAAGTGAGGGGTCAAGATTGTGTTTTGTCCAAGATAATAACTTAGTAGTTGATTTAAGAATTCAAATCTGGTTCCTCTAACTCTAAAGTCTGTAAAAAGAGAGTGAGATACTCTTTTAAAAAACTAATACTGAAAAATTATCAGGTTTTCCAAGTACAAAATACAACAAATCTATAAATCTCAAGATTTTAATCTATAATGGAATTACATTACAATCTGATCTTTCTCAACTCTGTTTAAACTCTACAATTCTGTTTCTTTATTTATGCATAACTTGTCATTTTAGTGAAAGGAAAAAAACACTTTGTGAACGAAACAGCCATAGGTGCTGTTTGCTTGTAGAGGGAACTACTAACACCTCAAACAACCAAAAGACACACAGTAAAAATAAACAATGATAGGTTTTCAATTACTTTATTTTAGAAAAACAAAGCGTTTACAATTTGTGCCATAAGGCAGGATATCATGAATTCAACAAGTTAGTAATACAGACTTTCAAAAACCTTTTATAGGTTAGTCCAAAGTAGAAAATTTTTTGCCCACTCTTGGACTCAGACACATCCAGAAAATATATATATTTATAAAAATAAAATAGCAAACCTAATCCCACCAATTAATTGACAGTCTGAACTTCAGTGTTTAAATAACACTGATTTATTTGAGCAATTTCTGCAAGAAGAGCAGAGTGGTTTTATTCCCTGTCCTACTTCCATATCATATGAAGCAATAATAAAATATTTAAACTATTTTCTGCAAAACCCAAACCAAAAAGGCCGCTAAGCAAAACACAAAAAAACATTATAACCAACAAATCCACTAAATAAAATTGTCCTAACTACTCATATAGACCCTTCCTTTTACCCGTAGACATTTGGCATCTTAATGTTACCTATCTCTAAACCAGATAGTAGGAAGCACTATGTGTGAAGAAGAAAATGAGAATTCTGGGCCTAATACATGTCAAACAAGTTCCCATACTAGTAGCTAGGAAAATATTGATGCATAAAAGGAAAAAAAAAAGAATTGCAAACTATAATGAGGTGTGTAGGGTATTTGGTAAAACCATGCACTTTATCTTATTTAAATATCCTTAAATATTGTCTGAACACCAGACTCAGCAACAGCAAAAATCTAGAATTCAGAATTTTAGAAGTTGAAAACTGAACCCTGCTGCAACTGAAAGAAAAGGCAAAACTCCTACTCCCTGTAGGTTCCCATTATTAATATGTAATCATAAGTTTCATCACTGAATTAGAATGATACCCATATTCTTCTATTAGATTCAATTATTTAAAAGTCTGTCTTTATTTTGAAGTAATTTTTCCTGAAATTAAAATAACATTCATAGTAAACTCTGATATCACATTGAATGGAAAAAGCTATACTAGTGAACAAATTTTAAAGTTTCTTTTGTGAGCAGTCTGACAATGAAAATAAACATTTCTCAAAGTAGAGAAAAAAGCAACACTTTAATATAAAAAGAAATAAAATGACCTACAAACAACCTAGACATTTTGTTTTCCCAACAGACACATGCTAAAAGCACAAACAGAATATGAGGCAATAGGACAAAGCAGTGAAAGGAAGCAGAGAACAAGGCGTTCATTTGTAAAGAACACCAGGAATACAAAGGAGTATCACCGAATATTTGTTTGCTGATACTCACTGAGCTTTACCTTTTTTTTCCCCTATTGAGGTCTTTCACTCATAGGTGATGAATAACAAGACAAAAATATGCAGACAACTAATGTGACAGCGATAACTATGAAGGGGAAAAAAATGACACTGTCTACAACTACTTCATGTCACCTCCAGTTTTCATTTCCTTACTAGACTTCGGTCTCAAATGAGGCATGTGTACTTTCCTAAGCTTTTGCTACTGCAAAACAAGCTTGACCACTGGGAACATTAATGTGTATCTTTCCCCTAAATCCCTCATTATTCTTTGGGAAGAAATTTATGTGTTAAATTGACAGCACTTATCTCCAGTTTCCACTTCAGAACATTTCACTCTAGTATTTCCTGAAAACACCCTGACTGCATATTTGTTTCATTATTAAAAAAAAAAAATGGAATGCCAAACAGTAAGAATGGGTACTTAATTACTAAATACTAAAAGAGCACATGGATATAATAAAACTATTACTAGCAATTTCTTAGTACTTAAGATACAAGAGTTTCTACATAGTCCTGATCAGTACGGCATCAGAAACAACAAAAGACTGTTCTTGATGATCAAATCCCTAAACAACTTCGGTGTTGGGACCATGAATTACATGTTTAAAATGATTAAATATTATAAAATGTTCAACAAAATTCTTTATAATGGACAGGTTATTCAATGAATAACCACCCAAATAACAGTTACCTAATAAAAACCCGAACTTATCTAAAATGAAGGCCTCAAAATAACTAATCTACAATAAACATATCAACTGCTAGTTATTTTAAAAAAACAGCAATTTTTAGACATTCCTTGTGATAAAATTCCTATGTTATCTTATCATAAATAGAAGATGAGAGGTCACTTGCTGAAATAGGTGACAGAACAGAGAACAGAGAAGGTAATTGGTCAACCTTTTCTTTTCATAGAATGTGACTTTTGTTGTTTGACATGATGATTACATCACTTATTACTCATTATCAACAATGACCCAGACATGCTCACAGGATTACATAACAGATGTACCAATAAATTTTATGTGTGTGTTTATACACATATATATTTTTGACTGTAAATTTCCATAAACATAAAAATGTGATATTACTTTCCAAAAAGCAGATTTTCAGCAAAGGAAATTTTAGAAGAAATCTGAATATAGAACACTGAAATGAAACAAAACAAAAACAGTAGGCTGTTTTGGCTAAAGTAGGGTAGGATGAACAGACACCCGTTCCTTCCTGCAATGACCAATGAGACACCGTCAAAAGTATTACAGAGCAGGGGTTAAAACCACTGCTCCCAATAAAATCCTGTTTATTTTGCAAAGGTGAATACAAGACTATTTTTTCCCACTCTATCGGTCCATATGAAAATTTTATAATAATGCACTGAGTATAAAGCTAAAAAGTAACATTTCCTCTCCTTTAAAAATAATAACAAAATAAAACCATTATGCTATACAAAACCCATAATCTTAACTGATACATGGAAAAAGTTATTAATTCTCCTTAAAGTGCCTAAATTTTAGACTTAATTTTGTCCATATTCATTGTGTCCAAAATATATGAGGAGAATGGATGGCAGGAAGTGGAGGTATTGTTTTTTTCTGTATCAGACATGTATCTTCTACCTGACTGATCAATTTAAATATTCTGCCCAAGAATTTTAACTTTGCCACAGAATATTCAGATAGAGAAACATGCAAATAGAATTGATCTGCTATAACAACATCTATAAGGTAAACTCTGATGGAGTGCTTATGCTGTGTTTGTTTTAGACAAACCATTCATTTCTTTATTCCAAACATCTCCACATTTATAGAAGGATTACTTTAATCCATGCAGTTGATATTAGCAAAATACAAACATGTTCTCTTCTGTAAAGATCATGATTAAATGTCTAAATTCAATAAATAGACTCTTCAATAATTTGAAATCTTATCAAATATTTTATAGCAGTGAAGTCTCAATCTTTCTTCTTTTCTAATATATCCTTGGGCTCCTGCACTGTGGGCACGAGAGGTCCTCCGCTGCTCACCTCCTGCTGGTCTTTGCTCTCTTCTCTCTGTTCTTGACTTTCAACTTCACTTTTAGACACCTCATATCGTTCTTCTATATAACCTCCATCTGTGTCAGCTGTGTAGATTCCGTAGCACATGATACTGATGACACCCAGTGGCAGGCCAAAGAGAAAGCAGCCCATAAGTGGTGAGCTCTTGAATATAGACTGTGGAAAGATAATTACAACTCAGTTTCCTCCAGACTCAATTTTGATATAAAAAGCATGAAATAAATTTAAAACCACAAAAGATTTCTTCCTCTTGCTACTATTCAACTTGCTTGTAGCACCAATGAATCAAAGTCAATATTTTAGCAGTTAACTACCATGTTATAAAGACACTGTGAGAGATACAATTTCTATAGGCACTCACACAGGCATGTGTAGAAACAGCTACTAGCAACAGAAAAAGGCACCAAATATTCAATAACCTTTCCTAAAAACACTCATTTTTTCTCACATTAATCACAAAGTCTCTTTAAGATGGTTACCTTGTGCCCATCAGCTTTAGAATTAGAAATCCATTCACAGCAAAGGTTGGGTTATTTACCATGAAAAATGTATACACACTCTGTTCACATGACATTTTTACTTTTTTTACCTATTTAATTAATGGTAAGGCCTCATTAACTTATTAATTTCCCTCTCTATATATACTGTCTCAGCTTCCAAAAAAGTAAAGGTGATTTTATTGGTGTTTTGTTTTGAGTCAGGGTCTCAGTCTGTCACCCAGGCTGTAATGCAGTAGCATGAATCATGGCTCACCACAGGCTTGACCTCCTAGGTTCAGGTGATCCCTCCACCTCAGCCTCCTAAGTAGCTAGGACTACAGGCATGCACAATTACACTTGGCTAATCTTATGATTGTTTTTTGTAGAGACGAGGTCTTGCTATGTTGCCTAGGTTGGTCTCGAACTCCTGGCCTCAAGTAAACCTACTATCTCAGTTTCTCAAAGTGCTGGGATTACAGGCATGAGCCACAGCTCCTGGTCAATGGTCCTAATTATTTACCAACTAGGGAAATTACAGAACAGAGATTTTTAAAACTTTAAAATCTAAAATTTAATGTCGACCACTGCAAAATAAAAATAAACAACTTCCCAAGACACATCAGACACATTTTTTTTTTTTTTGACAAAAATGACCAATTCAGCTGGGTGCAGTGGCTCAAATTTGTAATCCTGGCACTTTGGGAAGCAGACACAAGAGGAATACCTGAGTCCAAGGATTTGAGGCCATCCTGGGCAACATGGAGACAACTCATCTCTACAATTAAAAAAAAAAAAAAAAAAAAAAATCACACTTCATCAACAAGAGTACCCACATAATGAACACTTATATATTTAACCCTGAACTGTATCCCACATCTTTATAATAACAAATTTTTTTAAAAAAATTAGCCAGGCATGGTACCATGCACCTGTAGTCACAGCTACTTAGGAGCTGAGGTGGAAGAATCACCTGAGCCCAGCAGGTCAAGGTTGTGGTAGCTGTGAGCTTGCCACTCCCCTCCAGCCTGGGCAAGAGTGAAGTTCCAACTAAAAAAAAAAAAAAAAAAAAAAAAAAAAAAAGATCAACTCACAGAGGACAGTGCACAGTGGAACAAAAAGCTTCCTCTTATCTACACTGCCTTCAAACCATAGAAATAATTAACTAAAACCTTTACATGGTAGGTCGATGAAATAAAATTATTTTAAGTCAAGTTAATTGGTTCCAAATTTTAGTTAATTCGCCAATCATATAAAAATGAATAATCAGATGCAATTTCTATCTGACGAATATATTTTCTTAATGTAAATACTTACTAGGCCTATTCTGCAATTTAAAAACACATTATTTTGACCTATTCCTTTCCAATTTAGATTTTATTACAATTAAACATTAAGGTACCTATAATTACTATGACAAAAAACAATCTATCACAACTTACCACAATAGTAGATTTGGCATCAAATACTATTCTTTTCAGCCTCTGCAAAATGCTATCACCTCCTTGGGCCTTCAATTTTTGAAAAGAAAAAAAAATTAAATTGTTATTTAAGTACTACTACTTCATTTTTCTATGTTACGTAGACTCCAGATTACATAAACTATCTGAAAAAGCTGTGTAGGCAATATTTACTACATTTTTTTTCTGTCCTGTACTCCTCCTGTCTGCTTGTGCTCACACACCCTGATCACTGAAGAATTCATCCTCCCCCAGTCACAATCCATGCAGCTAAGCTGACCCACACCCTCAAGCCAGCTTTGCCCGATCTGTTTAGCTGGGACTGCAAACCCTGAGCTGCTGCAGGACATTTGCTATTGCTACTATGCAGGCCAAGACTCCCTGAGGATGAGGCTCAATAAGTGAAAGTGCTGAGAGGCAGAGAGGGAGAAACTCCTGACAAAAATCAATCACACCCTTGCAGTCTGGCCCATTCCTTGAATATCCAAGTCCTGGCCCATTCCTTGAATATCCAAGTCCTAGGAGCCAACATAATCTTTTTTTTTTGAGTTGGAGTCTCACTCTGTCACCCAGACTGGAGTGCAGTGGCCGCTCCCGGCCACCACAGCCTCGACCTGCTGGGCTCCGGCGATCCTTCCGCCTCAGCCTTCCAAGTGGCCGGAATTACAGGCATGCGCTACCACGCCCGGCTGATTTTTTTAAAATTTATTTATTGTAGAGATGAGGTCTCGTTGCCCAGGTGGGTCTCAAACCCGCGGGCTCAGGCAATCCACTCACCTCAGCCTCCCAAAGGCGCAGGATTACAGGCTGAGCCACCGAGCCCGGCTCAACATAATCTTTTTGCCGTTATACAGCCTAAGTTGGGTTTTGCTAACTTAAAAATAAAACACTTTTCACTCAAATAGATGAGTTTCATTTTAACCATTTTCACAAAATTCCTACTATTTGATTAAGGGTGTTTTTCAAACTTCTTGCCCTTGACCCAAAGTAGATATACTTGCTACTCTGAGCCAACTTTCAAATAAAGTTTGTGTAAAGCTGAAACAAATCTCACAAAATAGTAATTCAACTGCATGAAAGTAATGAAGTATTTTACTTTTTTAATCTTATTCTAATTGATTAAATTAAGATGCATTAAAAAAAAAAACAAGATGCATGTTGATCACCACCTGATTATGGCCTCAGGTGACTTCACGACTTTCTAATATGGGCTTTAATTCATATTCTGCAAAACACTACAGCAAGACTTATGGGGGGGAAACTCAGATAATTGACACCATTCACTTATTTCTGAGAAATATTTTATAGGATTATGTTGAGAACTTTCCACTGGGGCTTTATTTCTTACGAAATAAGAAAGGTCTTATTTGCAGATTTTCTGAGAAAACCAACCCAAAAACTTAATCCAATTGTACTTTTGGACCCAGAAAGATACTAAAAGCCAGGAGAGCTCACTATTAGGATTACCCCAAATGTAGGCCTCTTACTGTCCCTAGCCTACGTGCCTATACCATCTCCCTATCGTTGTGACAACTACATATGCCCTCTAAATAACCCCTAAAAGAACCTTTCCACCTACTAGAACTCTGCCATAGAAGAACCTTCTATGTCTGGGAGAATGTGACTCTGCCTTTAACAGAAGAAGAGTGATATATGGAAGACCACCCCACCCTAGGTGATGACCAAACGTTCCTTTCAAACTCAGAAGAAATGAACCAGTTTCTCCTCTACCTCCTTCCCCATCATCCCTCTGAAATGAAAGTGAACAACATACTTCCACTGTTCCATCCAAAATGTTATTAATGAACTGGACCATGTCTTCAGCATTCTTAATCTGCCTATCAAGCAAGAAGTATTGTTGGTTTGAAGTATTCAGTACAACAACAGTTGGAACTGTTAATTCACTGAAAATATAAAAACAAGGAAATCAAAATATACATAAAACACAGCAATGAAAAATACTCTGATATTTACATCTCAGTAGCTATAATTACAGAAGGGGGAGCTATATGAACAGATTTGCCTACCTGAAAAAAATTTCAAATTTTGCATTGATTTTTCAGGCTAGTTAAATTAAGATTACATTAAAAAATTCTAATATATACTATAACAGATGGCTGAGTAATCACAATTAAACTTAAGGACAGAAATTATGATGTACAAATCATCATTTTCTGGACACTATTAGTTCTTGCCAAAAATTTACTTTAAATACCATCGCCTTTAGTCGTACACAATCCCACCCATCCCCATCTGGGCATTTGGCAACTAAATAGGTAAGAGTATGGTATTTGAAGTCAGATTGCTCATGTCCAAATCTGAAGCGTCCTCTCAAAGTTGCAGGATGTGAGGCAAGTAATTTAGCTTCTTATTCATAAGGTTTTATAATTATAAAACTGAAGGCAGGGTAGAGTAATGGTGATGGTACATGAGATAAATCAAGTTATACATTCATCACAGTACCTTGTACATAATACATGTTCAATAAACAGCTACAGGCTCACTGAACTCCCTCTATCATACTATGTATTTCATTTCAACAAATCCTCAGGAAGTGCTTTAGTGATATGCTAAACATCAGTTTGCAGATGGAAAACTACATAGTACTACCAATATGTGTCATTTAATGGTTCTTTTTTTTCTTTTAAGAATAGGTTTTTGCATAATCATAAAAGGGAGGTACTCAATTCCATGTCACAAATATACACTCTGGCTATCTGTATGTCTATGTTTACCTGAATGTATTGTGAAAAAGCATAAAACTTCATAGTAGAAATAACTTAAATTAATCACCCTATTATCACCTTAATCACACAAGTAACCAAGTCAATAAGTTGTTTTCTTTTTCATAATTCTCTGGCCTTCCATATCACACTCTTTGGCATGTCATGTGAGAGACCACTTTTTACTGTGATATACAATTTATTGAACTGCTCACTCAGAGACAATTAGCTTCACATGGCTTTGTAAGTGGATATTCACAACACTTGAGCTCACTTCAATAACAGAAGGTGGCTATGGAATTATTACAGTAGTATGCAGTATCTATTACAGTTAATTTTATGCAGTTATGATTTAATACTGCATCTGTACATTTATTTACATGTCTCTCAACTGCAAATGGCACCATGCAGGCTAAGTTTTGATAAAGTCTGACTTTTTTATAATAGATTTGTGTATATTTTATGGTAGTAAAAGGAAAAATATAGTATCTACATATGTTTTATGCATTCATGACTACTTTATTTCTTAATTTTTTTCAATTATTTCTAGGCTACACAGTTCATTTGCAAGCCTTAAAAAAATTTTTGCAAATCTCTATAAAATTTTCCAACATAGAGGGTGCCAAAAAGTGTATACACATTTTAAGACAGGAAAAAAAACTGTATTAAAATTGCAATACTCAATATATACCACTAACAAAAAATGAATACAAATCACATTGGACTTCTGCAATTACAAGAGGTGCTCAAGGTGATTACCAGCAGCATTCACACACTTCTGATTATGGCAAACTACTACAGGACTTGTTGCTGTGTGAGGCCTCCTGGCTCTTCCCTTGTGCACATCACACATAATACCATGTGTCTCAAACTTATCATGAATGCACGCAATTGTTAGGTATGTTGGAGGTTCTCTTGCATACTCACGCCTCCACTGTCACTGTACTTCAACAATGTTCTTGAATTTCAAATACCACTTCAAAATGGTCTTGGGGTCCTCCAAAGACAATCACGCTTCCACCATTTTCTTTGCCTGTCCTGCTGTCACATGGTGATGTTAGCATTAATTTGACTAACGCCATCTTTTGAGTGAACGTCATTGCTATTGTAATTCAACTCAACTTTGAAAAGTAATATACAGATAACATCTTTTAAAATGTGTATACATTTTTTTTGGCACTCCTAGTATTTATTGAAAAAAAATCCATGTATAAGTAGACCACAACAGTTCAAATTCAGGCTGCTCAAAGGTCAACTGTACCTATAATATTTGTATAGATACTTTATTTTCCTTTGTCTTGATTCTTCATTATACCCTACAGCAGGCACTAAATCTTTGGCAAATCCTCTTAAATTCTTAAATTGGAATGAGAGAGATAATATAATTGAATATAATTGAATATAAATGAATTAAAGTAATGCTACATTATAATTTCAAGCTTTTAAATGAAAATTATGAGGATTATTGGAAAATGGAAGATACTAAAATACACTAATACACTGAAACAATGAATGAAGTCTTTTGCTACATGTATGCCACTAAGATAAACTAAAGGAAACTGAAACATGGCATACAGTTGAGCATTCAGCAGGCCCTCAACCTGCTAGACAAGAGCCAGCATGTCTCTAGTGAGATTCCCCATCTTCACTTCAGAGGCTACTTAAAATCTCCACCACTATTCGAAGTCCCATTTTCGAACCATCCGTTTTGAATGCCTGAAATGTTCTGCCTGAAACAAAATTGCATTCTTCATTCAGTTAATTTCTCATTCTTTGGAACTTCTCTTAACTATCGCCTCCTCTGGAGAATGTTTTTTGAGCCCTTCCAACTAGAGTGCACTAGGTGGGGATGAGGAGGGAGTGTCTCTATGTTCCAGAGCCGTCCCCTACATACAACTTTGCACACAGTTCTGTAATTAGTGTTGGTCTTACCCAGTGAACTACAGGCATAATAAGACAAAGACTATTCATTTTTGCATCAACAGTGTCAAAGACAGTGTAGAACATACTTATGAAATGTCTACTGAATACAGTGGGTGCTTGTTTCAAATTCATTAATTCAGCACAAGGGTCAGTAAATGTTTGCTAACATCAGTCTGCTGAAGTGACAAATTAGATCTTTATATCATAATTGTAATAGATGGAAATTATTTTAAAATGAAATATTTTCCTACAAAGTTATTTTGGTTTACTAAAATAAATTCTTCTAGAACAGCAATTAGTTTTTGAATGCTAAACATTTCCTATTTAGATTATATTCATCCATTAAAACTAAACCTCTTAAGATATGTATTAAGCAGAAACTATAACATTTACAAGTTTTTGAATACCTTTTCAGAAAACTATAAATTATAACTGATCAAAAGATGTGTCAGAATATATAAACTGTTTGCTTTTTTTCAGTGATTTAACCCTTCTGCCTATTTCTCAGTATAGAAATTTTAAAATTGATAGATTTGATAAGAAAATCATTCTGTACTTTACTTACTCCATCAGTAAGGTGTTTATATAGTCATTTCCATCCATATGGCCAAACTGAAAATCCCTAACCAACAGCAACAACAACAACAACAAAAAAAAAAAAAAAGAGAAAGGGAGAAAGAGCTCAGTATTAAATGCAAAAGGCAAACAATACAATAAATCAAACATTCCAGCTTGGTAAACTCATAAACACTGTAAAGACTTAACATGTCAATCACATACAGTAAATGTAAAAAGAGGGCAAATTCTACGAGTGTAAAGTAAATTGAAGAGAGAGAGAGAGGAGATTTACCTCCCCAAGATAAGGGAGGTGGTCAAAGCTTAGGAAAAATGGCACAGCTTTTGAGATACAAATACAGATAACTAGAGTTAAGCAAATTCTAAGACATTTCTACTTTGTTTTAAAATGAAGAAAAATATAAAAACTATTTAAGAAAAATTACCCATTTATTCAAAAACAGGACTAATCAGCAGATGCTACATACCGTGTAACAGGAAAAGTATATATTGATCCATCATTAGAAGATTCAGAATAAGTAGATGATTCTGTTACAATCATCTATCTCTCATTTCTGATTGCTCATTTAATTTTATCCCAAATTTATAGTTTATGTGCATATTTTTTCACAAAATTTATCTGAAATCCTATCAGGAAGCAGGTGTGATACAAATTATAAATAAAAGTGTTGTTTTTTTAAACTTGAAGGACATACCATAAATGAATTGATCCAGACAATTCATGTAAAATGCAACATGCTACACAGCAGTCCCGCTTTAGTCACAGTTTTAATTTCTGTAGTTTCAGTTACCTGTGGTCAACTGTGGTCCAAAAATATTAAATAGAAAATTCCAGTAATAAACACTCACATAATTTTCATTTTACAGTATGTTGTCATAAGTGTTCCATTTTTATTATTATTATTATTACTTTTTTGAGTTGAGGTCTCACACTGTCACCCAGGCTGGAGTGCAATGGCACACTCACAACTCTCAGCAGCCTCAAACGCCTGGGTTCAAGAAATCCTCCTGCCTCAGCCTCCCGCATAGCTGGGACTACAGGCATACACTACCACATCCAGCTAATATTTTTGTAGAGACAAGATCTCACTATGTTGTGAGGCTGGGCTCAAACTCCTGGGCTCTAGCAATCCTCTCATTTCAGCCGCCCCAAGTGCTGAGATTAAGGCATAAGCCACTGCACCTGGCATTCTTTATTATTAATTATTGCTAATCTCTTACTCTACCTAATTTATAAATTATATTTTATTATAGATATATATGTATAGGAAAAAAATAGTATACAAAGGGCTTGAGCCTATGCAAGGTTTCAGGCATTCACTGGGAGTCTTGGGACATACTGATGTGGATAAGAGGGGACTGTTGTAATTTATTTCATTTCCTTGACCCACCTCTAAAAGTATGAAATACTAAGTCTGTATTACCATATTATAAGACGTAATTAAACAAAAATAAAGGAATCTTCCAGAATGCAAGCACCTACCTATGGAAGTGGTCTCTGTAATCTCTAGCAACTTCCTGAATAATTGACTTTAATCTGTAGAACAAACACATGAATATTTCATCTGCACTTGAAAAAATATAATTTTTCCCTCTTTTTTTTTAAGATTAGAAAATACAGTTTTTTTAGAAAGTAAATTGAAGAAAGTGAGAGAGGAGATTTACCTCCCCAAGATAAGGAAGATGGTCAAAGCTTAGGAAAACATGGCACAGCCAGAAGTTCAAAGAGCTACATAGCTGGGCCAGGACTTAACAAAAGCATGGCCTAATTTTTCAATGATAATATCTGCTGCTTTAGATCTAAGTACTGCAGAAAAGGTAAAACACCACATCAAATCATGTAAATTCTGAATTGGGTGACAACTGAAGTTTAAAACTATTTCAAGGCACTATACCTGGTATGTTCAACTGATGTATTTTTCTCGTCAATAACTGCAATAGTCACAAGCTTTCCTGAAATTAAGAATGACATATCTAAATTCAACAGCTCTCATTACACAAACTTTTCAATTATCACTTCAGTTGTGAATAGAGAATTAGTAAAATGTTTCTAGAATCTAATTATCTTACACATGTCATACTAAATTACATCAACACATTATGGTACAATATTTGTTTGCAGTGTGAAATCAGTAAATTAGTCAATTACAGGTGGCAAATTATCTTCCACATCTTACCTCCCAAATGTAAATAGTACATATGTAACCATTTACATACTCAAACTGTATTTTCTGTAACAATTTATATACTCAGTCGGCCAGGCTCGGCAACTCAGTCTGTAATCCCAACACTTTGGAAGGCCGAGGCGAGTGGACTGCCTGAGCCCGCGGGTATGAGACCAGCCTGGGCAACCTGGCGAGACCTCATCTCTACAATAAATCAAAAATTAGTTGGACTTGGTAGCGCATGCCTGTAGTTCTGGGTACTCAGAAGGTTGAGGCAGAAGGATCACTGGAGCCCAGCAGGTAGACACTGGGGTGGCCATGAGTGTACCATGGCACTCCAGCATGGGCGACAGAGTGAGACTCTAACTCAAAGAGAAAGATTTACATGCTCACATTGTACTGTTTCCACACACCCCATAAATTGTCTGTTTTGTCAAAGGTTAAAACCATAAGAAATAATTTACTTGTTAAGATTGACTAAGAATTACTGTAGCTCTAAAACAACAGTATATAACAATAAGAAAATTGGATTTACATGCCATTCCCTTTGGTACCATGAATCACTACTTGCCAGTAATAATACAATTAAACTGACTCACATATACTTAATCCCAAATAGAACATAAATCATATGTGTCTCTAATATCCTCTAGGAAGCCGGCATGATGTAATAACCAGAACAGTGGTGTTGGAGTCAGAAAATCTGACAGTATCTGTCACAATCTAGGCACTGTATCAAGTGTGCCATCGGTAATGTGACATCATTTATTAGCTGCTTGATATAACTGTAGTAGACATCACTTCATTTTGACAACTAATACTTATTTCACAGCGTTATTTAGAGTTAAATGAGATTACATGCACAAAAATAGAGACGATATCTGGCCGACAGCAGGTACACAGTGTAGAACTAAAACAGTATCATCTCCACACTTTATTTATTTATTTAAAAAATGAAAAGTTTCTTTAAAAGCAAATTGGAGAGAGAGAAGGGAGAAAGAAGATTCACCTCCCCAAGGTGGGGGAGGTGACCAAAGCCAGGAAGTGTGGCGACAACCACAGCTCAAAGAGCACATGGCCACACCAGAGTACAGCAAGGCAATGGCCGTTGGCTGCTTGTGGTTGGATACTTCCCCCCAATTCCACACTGTTTCAACACCTTTAAATTCTGTAAAATCTTCTTTTTTGTAGTTTAATTTTTAAATTGTTTATTGATTTATTTTTAAAGATATGGGGTACAATTTAGGATTAAGTACATAAGTGGCCATTGTGCAGGTAAAGTTTGGGCCACCCTTTGGTCTCCATTTTGCCTGCCTTGTTGATATTATGTGGCTCCCCCCCCAGCAGTGTCCCAATCCCCTGGCAGTGTCCCACTACTGCCAATCCCTTTCTTATAGTATTATGATAAATGTTCAGGGTCCGCTTATGAGTGAGAACATGTAGTACTCAGTTCTTTGTTCCTGTGAGAGATCACTGAGTATTATAGACTCTAAATCCATTCAATTTAAATTCTGCAGAATCTTGACTCTTTTAGCCCATTGATGAAAATATAAGCTCACAATGATGATCGACTTTCTTGAAAAAACTCATTTGCTATTCCATGTTTGGTTTTTATCATGCGCTCCTTTAATTATCAAATGACCCATGAGGTTCTTTTTTTTCCCCCAAGATGCCTACACATGTACAAAGCATGCTCCCATGGGCCAACAGGATTCCACGAAATACAAGCATAGTTCTCACATACTAATACAGCAATTACTGAGTGCCAAATAACACATCAGTCACTAGGTTAGTTACGAGGACACAGCGATGAGCAAATACAGACACAGTCTTGCACAATCTAGTAGGGGAGACAGACATTTTCCTCAAACAAATGCCCAGTTAAAAATATGAAGAGTTCTGAAGGAAAGGTTTATGCCGCTATAAATGACTATTACAGAGTAAATTAATATAGTTTGAGGTGGTCAGCAAAGATTTTCCTAAGGAAACAATATTTGGTCTAAGTTTGACAGATGAACATGAATTAACTATGTATTTCTGAGAAAAGAAAACAGCATGTACGAAGGTGCTTCGGTGCAAGTGGCACAGTGTTTTAAAGAAACTGGAGGTCAGTGTGGCTGGAGAAGAGCGAGAGAGTGTAGGAAGAGACGAGAGAGAGACGAGGCCGGAGCTTCAGGAGTCAGGAGTGCTGAGAAAGACACCACGTACCTGAAGTCACAAAGAGCCAGGAAGCTCTGAGGTGCTCATGGAAGGGGACAGTGGGATGACAAGCAAGGGCACAACCACAGCTGATGCCTAACAAGGTCAACTATGTCGGACACAGAAAAAGGACATCACCACAGCAAACCTCTAGTTCCAAATTAATCTGGGAAAAGAAACTGCTGAGTAGAGCCAAAGCCACCTGTTTTAATTACTTCAAGGTCACGTTTTCAACTATGATGACAGTACTGAAAGCTCAACAACTGAATTCCCACATTTTCCCCCTTTTCTCTTTACACGGATCTGAAAGAATCAAAAAGTAAATCCAAATCTTTGGTAGTGTCCATGGCAACTTCCAATAATAAGTTAAAACAGAGCTCTTCCTGGAAGGATAAGCTAAGACAGAAACATCACTACACACAGAACATTAAAAGCAAGCTCAGGAACCAAAACAAAACCATCCTAAGAAAAAGCAACAAACAACAGAAGAACAAGTAAGAATGTCTCTATTTCGCATTCTTAATCAGATTCAGGAGCAGGGACTCATGAAGAGGAAACCCTATGCTTATTGCTTCTCATACAAAAAAAAAAGAACTTGAGCCTTAAAGTTTTCCCATTCTTTTACTCTAAAACTCTACTTCCATCCTACTTAAAAAGTTGTGAATGGAAACAAATGTGGCAACAATAAAGCAGAATTTCTCATTTCTAATTGGCTACACATTTACAAGACACTTTCTCCTAAAACTCTGTTAACTTCTGGCAATTTTTGTAGTTTGCACCCATGAGATCATACTAAGGGGAACTCCCCCAAAAATCAGAATTATCTTTTGGAAGGTGGGCCCTTTGTAGTACATTCAGAATTTCCTCCAGATTAAAAAGTCAACCAAAGTTTTTATCTGGAAGTTTTGAGAAGACTGTATCATAATTTGCACCAAGTTGTGAATGGTTCTTCCACCAAGACAACACACCTGCCCACACTGTATTGAGTGTTCAGCAGTTTTTCACCAAAAACAGCATGATCTCCATCCAGGCTCCACTCTCCCTATTCAACCAATCTCCTCCTGAGTAACTTTTTGTGTTTCCCTGGATGAAAAAAGTCCTTAAAGGGAAACTTTTTGCTAATGTGGAAAAGGTGAAACAAAAAATGGCAGAAACAGTAAAAGGCACCAAAATTGACGAGTTCAAAAACTGTTTTGAGCAGTGGAAAAAGAGTCTCAGCAGGTGTATTACATCAAATGGAGAGTACGTTGAAGGTGACTGAAGTTTAAACATGTAAGAATAAATACACATTTTTTTTTTTGAGTTGGAGTCTCACTCTGTCACCCAGACTGGAGTGCAGTGGCATGCTACTGGCCACCGCAGCCTCGACCTGCTGGGCTCCAGCGATCCTTCCATCTTACCCTTCCAAGTAGCTGGAACTACAGGCTAGTGCTATAACGCCTGGCTAATTTTTGATTTATTGTAGAGACGAGTTCTCACCAAGTTGCCCAGGCTGGTCTTGAACCTGTGGGCTCAGGTCACATTTTTAAAAATAAATAAATTCCAGGTTCTTTTGGATCCTCTTTTGTATAGTTTCTATAGATTTGATGTACTCATATTTATACTTGCCTTGCCTGTCATTTTTATAGTATAACTTTAAGATTTTATGCCAATTCGATTCACATTTATATATCCCCCTCTTGAATAAAAGCAGGCATTATAAGGTTGTGGTAAGTTTTATTTCAACTCCTATTATACAATCAGCCTCCTGAGTACAGCTTCCTAGTTGGTTATTTTTTCTCATTCCTTCATCCTTTTCACTTTTCCTGTCACCATCAGTTCTATTAGCAAACCCTCTCTTTAGCTAATCTGTAGACCTGGCATTCAGGTAAAAAAAAAATTAAATTATAAAATAGAGCTTAAATTCATTTCCTACACAATCAGATGCCACTAATCAAGAAAAATTCTGCAGATTGATGGAAGGTTGCACATATGCTCACTACCTGTGTCTCCAAGTTCATACAAGAGGAAGCCATCCATAGTAAGGTAGTTCTGAAACCTCTCCCTATTGATCCAGGATGACAGGTCACCATCTTCATACTCTTAAAAAACAAAACAAAGCTGGTAAGTTTAAGATAGTTACAATATTTTAATCTGGTAATACGTATAAAATGTCTGACAGAATCATAACTTTAAATCCATAAATACTTATTTTAGGAATTTATTCTAAGCAAACAATGAGATGTATAAAAAGATTAGTGCACAAAACAATTCTTCATTACAGCGTTATTAAAAATAGCAAAGAATAATTAAAAATAAAGGAATCAATCAAATGTACTAGATTGGAATCAAGCAAAATGTCCTAGGCTAGAAATAAGTTAAATAAATTTTGGTACATGTCAAGAAAGATCATTTATAAATCTTAAATAAACAAATAAATTGCAAAATAGTTTACAAAACAGTATTACAGAATGATTGTAACTTTGTAAAAACTAAAGCATAAAAAGATAAACAGATAAAATAATAAAAATAAGGCATATACTCCTAAATGGTTCACCTAGGTTTGATGAATATACTTGCATCATAACAATGTAGGCAATTTTTATTACAATCTCTTGCTCTTCATAATTTATGACATCCTTCCTAGTTTACAATGCTGTCTCATGTATGACTAACACAAACACATACATGAAACTACAGTAATAATTAGCTTTTTCTCAATATCAAATATTTCTCTGCTAAGCAGTTACAATATATAGCATCTAAAAGAAATATTATGTCCTGACCTGCACATGTATGTTTATTGCAGCACTGTTTACAATAGCAAGATCATGGAACCAACCATGCTGTCCATCAAAAGAGGACTGAATTAAAAAAATGTGGCACATATACACAATGGAACGTTACGCAGCCATAAAAAAGAATAAAATCATGAATTTCACAGCAACCTGGATGGAATTGGAGTTTATAATACTGAGTGATCTCTCACAAAACAAAGATCTGTGTATCACACATTCTCACTCATAAGTGGAACTTGAACAACTATTGTAATACTATAAGAAAAGGATGGACAATGGCGTGGTGGGAAACTATGGGGGGGGCAGGGAGGGGAAGGGAGGTAGGATTAATGGTAGTCAATACCTGTCTGGGGATGGGGGAGCACAACTCATCAAAGAGTGTTGGGAGCTGGCCACGGAGGCTCACTGAGCATTAGGGATCAGGAAGGGCCGTTGACCCCAAGACCACCAGGATGCGTTCAGGAGCTATTGACCCCATTTCCTCCCCCTTTCTACTCAGCACTAACCAGATTAAGCTCCTGTGAGCTCAAAACATAAAAACTCTGAGAGCAGGATGAACACAAGCTAACTTTAGAAGCTCATTGCTCCCATTCTTCCACAAACTGCAGTTTTGGCTTTCACACAACTTACAATTCAAACTCGGGTCACATCTAAGAGCCTTAGTATTGGTCACAGGCTTCTGGGTCATGATCTTAGGATTTATTGAAATTGAATAAGGTGTAAAGTGTAGAATATAGTTTTAGAAGACAGCCATTTTGTTGAAAGAATGCGGCTGGGTTACTTGCAGGTAGCCCACTGTGAACTTTGGACTGGGCCACATTCCAAACATTCTGGGATGGGCCACTTCAGCCTGTAAAGTAAGTACTTAAGTCTCTATATAATTGTTTAACTTGGTATTAGTACAAAAAGAGTTTATAGGCAATATGAAAAGGGCTTATAGGCAGTCATGGATTAAGGTTTCATGGATTAGGTTTAACATCTGTTATGGGATTATACCTGAAAGAGCATCTGGTGGGTGGGGAACACCCCTCACACACCTGACTGTGTATAAAAGACCCGTTGTAATTCCGAATAAACGGCTTCTGCACTAGACAGGGGCCCAGTCTCTTTCTCTCTCTCTCTCTATCTCTCTCTTTCTTCTTCCCCCCAATCGCTGACGCCGTCTCCACCTTTGAGGTACCCTGAACCCAGCTGGAGCTGAACTCCCGCAAAAGAGGGTATCTGCACAATGCATATTTGTATACCTAACACTTAACTGTACTCCACAATTTTAAAATAAAAATATGTTATTAAAAAAAGAAAAAAAATTCTAAAGTAATTTTGAAAAATTATAACTGCACAAAAAAGAAGCTGATGTAAAGCAAAATGTCTTTAAAAGTCTACTAACATCTGGATGAAGACTGGACTTTACTGATTACTTGAAAGATCTTTTTTTCCTGTCACTTGCATTGCTAATCAAAACATTTCAAGTTATCAAGTATACAAAAATAAGTGATATAATGCAAACCTAAAAGTATTTGTGGATCTGGATTTAGATATTAGAAAAATAAACACTACTGGGCCACCATCTCTACTCCATGCCAAAAGTAAATTTTCTAAAGACTGTACAAAATGATCAACCTAAAACTCACTAGAAAATTATCTATCCTCCTGAGTTCCTATTCCAATGTTTCTAAAATTCAGCAATAATTAAACATTAGAACAGCATTCAAAGTAAAGCTTTGTTTTATCTGAAGGCTTCAGGCAGGTTCTTAATACTGGCCACTGCATGTTGAAAAAATTTGGCCTTTATAATACCCATAGATACTTAATATACTATTATCCCTGTCTTTCTTAGCACAGGAGACCATATCTGAAACACGGAGAGATGAGGAGGGGTACTTCCTTAGGCAGGCCCAAAGAATACACTTAAATCCAAACAAATATGATCAGATTTTTTTCAAAAAAGAAACAAAGTGGCTCTCTGAATTTTTACAAAACTTCTAACAGAACCAGAAGAGATCTGAAAGCCATATTTTGATACCACTAAGTATTTTAATTTGGAAAAAAAGTCTCCCTAATCCTGTTTAGCTATAAAACAGTAAGAATACTGATCTTAAAGGATTATTGTAATGATGTAATGATCTAATAAGACAATATATACAAAGTGGTAGCAGGTAGACAGACTAGCTGTCAATATGATATGAATTTTCCTACTCATATATCCAAGTTCCTCTTAAGCCTGATGCTTAAAACAAACATTCAATGAACTAATGGTTAAATTAACATATGAATGAACCTGCTGTCTAATTATGTATCTGTCTCCTTATCTAACATTCTTAGTTACCTCCTTTGTAATCTTAGGCTATGAACCTCTCTGCCTTATTCCCTATCTCATAAATTATTTTGAAAGTAAAATAAAAATGACAAATCAAGTACATAGTACCTGCTATATAATAACAGCATAAATGGTAATTAGTCATAAGCCGGGCTCGGTGGCTCAGCCTGTAATCCCGCGCCTTGGGAGGCTGAGGTGAGTGAATTGCTTGAGCCCGTGGATTCGAGACCTGCCTGGGCAAGCGAGACCTCATCTCTACAATAAAATCAAAAATTAGCTGGGTGTGGTAGCGCGCGCCTGTAATTCCGGCTACTCAGAAGGTTGAGGCGGAAGGATCACCGGAGCCCAGCAGGTTGAGGCTGCGGTGGCCGGGAGCGGCCACTGCACGCCAGTCTGGGCGACAGAGTGAGACTCCAACTCAAAAAAAAAGAAAGAAATCAAATTCAGTTCTCACATTGATTTAGAGACAACAAATATTAAAAATGCAGTCTTTACAACATGGCTGTCAAAACAAAATGCTCCTTTAAAACAAAACAATAAAAATGTTCCTTTTATTGGATCGTTTTCTAGTTATTTGAATTATTTAAGCATTTCAAAGTCTACTCCTCTCAGCTAGTTCTAGTTTCCTTCTTGTATATAGTAGAAGTCAACAAGAAAAATAACCACACTCTACCATATCTCTGCAGTGAATGGAATGTTCCATACATGGTTTCACCAACATGGTAACCACAGCCACATAAGGCTACTGAGCATTTAAAATGTGGCCAGTGAGAATGAAGAAAGTAATTTTTTATTTTATTAAGTAATAATTTAGGCCAGGAATGGTGGCTCATGTCTATAATCCCAGAACTTTGGGAGGCTGAGGTGGCAGGATTGCTTGAGCCCAGGAGTTTGAGACCAGCCTGGGCAACATAGTGAGACTCTGGCTCTAAAAATGAAAGAAAAAAAAAAAAAGAAAGAAAGAAATTGTAACTTAGAATGTCAACAAGACTGTTAATAGAATAACGTGTGAATTCACTTTTGCTGCTGAGTGTGTATCTAACAGATGTTGAGTTTTACTGTTTCCCTTGAAGTTTAAAATATCTCCTGGAGCCCCTGTGAGACCGCTGCACTGCCCGAGGGTACCTCACAGAATACTTCGAGAACCATGGAAGCAGGTATTCGGCAATACAAGGAATTATTGTTAATTATGTCATTATAACAGCACATGGCTATTAAAAAAAAGTCCACATAAAGAGAGGCTTTACAATAAAGCACAAGGTGATAAAATGCCACTGGAATTTGCTTTACAGTACTTCAACAAAGAAAAAGAGTTGAATTTGAAGCAAACATGGTAAGATTCTGGTAACTGTTTAATTTTTTTTTTTTTTTTTTTGAGTTGGATCTCACTCTGTCGCCCAGACTG